GCTGCTGCTGCTGCTGCTGCTGCTGTGTGAGGAGAAGCGAAAGCCAAAGCCAAAGGCAAAAGCCAAAGCGATTCCGATCGTCAGGGCTCGGCTGCTGCTTTTTCGTGGCGGCTGCTCCCGAACGCCCCGAAGAGGCTCCGGCCGCTGCCCGCCGTCCGCCGTCGGCCGTCCGCGCTCGGCCGCTTGAATTTGGGCTTTGGGCTTATGCTTCGATCCCCTCTCGGCCGTTCCTGTTGCTCTTGGTCGAACAGCAGCAGCAAAGTTACCGCCGTGTGCTGTGCTGTTCCTGCCTCTCCAAGCTGCATCGGCTTTGCATCGGTATTTCCTGCGCGCATCTTTGCTTCATCCCTTCATCCTCACCAGCGCAAGCATCGCACACACTCGCATCCTAATCTCGCCCCTCCCTGTCTCGTCGCGTCCAATCACCTCCGCCATACGCCAGTCTCGATCCAGAGCTCTCTCTGCACCCCTCCCAACTCCTCTCGAACCGCACGCTGCCGCCGACCTCCATCACGGCCCACAGGCCTTCTTCCTAGCCCACACGCACGCGTCCTGCCGCACCATTCTGCACACGCAGGACGCCCGCCCACCATGTCCACTCGCATCCCGCCCTACGACATCCCAGAGCCGACGCCGCTCACCAAGGACGAGGTTCGCCAAAAGTATGCTCGCTACGAGTCCCTCCGCGCACAGCTTGCCACCTCCTTCCGCGGCCAGCTCGCCATCCGTGGCGAGCCCGTGTTTGCAAAGAGCATCACCATCTTCAACGATGCCGCTCCCCTCGGAGGCTGGATCGTCGCCCTCCCCATCGACGTCCACGACATCTCGACCGTAGTCAAGTTTTGCAACGCACACCGCCTCTCGCCGTCCATCAAGTCGGGTGGATTCGCAACCGCAGGCTGGTCCATCCAGGGCGAGGTGGTCATCGACACTTCGCTCATGGACGACGTCAAGCTCGTCGTCCCACACCGCTCCTCGCCCTTTTCGTCCTCTCAGTCAGACGACCAACCCATCCTTCCTGCCACTTCGGCACCACTCCCGCCAGCTTCGTCCGCCTCGGCCGCCTCGGCCGCCATCGACCCCATCACCGCCAAAGCAGATGCTCATGCCATCACCGTACAAAGCGACTCCGTTCGCGCAGCAGATCAACTCGCCCAGAACCAGATTCACCATCCCCATGCTACACCCATCCAGGACCAAGCAACTGTGCGACCTGCGCCCAAGAGCGAGACTTCCGAGGATGTCGACCCACAGGATCCCGCCAAGTCCGCGTTGAAGCGCAAGCTGCCTCCGACCCATCCCGACGTGGTCAACCATCTCGGCCCCGACTATGCATCCGCCGCCAGGCGCAAGATCGAGTCCAGCTCCCACTCCATGCAGCATGGTCGCAGCCACGAGAGCGGCGCAGACGCAGACAGCGAGAGCTCCTTCTCCGCCAATGACGATGCAGAGAACGACCACCCAATACCTGCCTCGGTTCCTCCTCGCGCTGCCCACACCGCCGCCGCCGAAAGGCCTGTCGCCTCATCCAGGAGCGATTTCCTCACAGCCTCTGAGCCACGCGACGTTGCACCGCCTCTCGCCAAAGCAGTCTCCGCATCAAGCTCAGGCTCAGGCTCAGGCTCGGGCTCGGGCTCGGCTTCCGCTGCCGCGTCCACTTCCGCCTCTGCCTCAAAGATCTGGGTAGACAGGCAGCTCGATCCCTCGGGCAATGCATCCGACTCGCCCGGCGGCAGCAACTCGGGCTCCACCGGTGGCACAAGCTCCTCCCAGCTCGCTTCCAGCTTCACCTCGGCCTCCAAGCAGTCCTCGGCCAAGTCCTCCAACGCTGGCGGCGACCAAGTCGACCACGCCGACGTCAAAGTCGACACCGACACCGTGGGTGCCATCACGACCGACGATGCGGCCGACGAGACGCTCGCCTTCAAGCGTCCCACCACCATCCCGCTTCCCAAGCGCGATGCCGCCACAGCTCCACGTCGCCCTGCCTCGCGCTCCGGCTCCGGCTCCGGCTCCGGTTCCGCATCCGAGTCCGGTCGCAATCGCAGCGACCTCTCCTACAGCCGCACGCCAGACGATTGGGACACCAGCGCCAAGGCAGACCACCAACGTTGGGCAAGGCACCATCGTCCGCCATCCGGCACCCCGGGCGAAAGGATCAAGTTGCCCGAAGGCGGATTCGTCTGGCGCAGCGACGGTGCCGATGCCGGCATCACCGGCGTGCCTGCCGCGCCCGGTTCGCTGCCCTGGGACGCCGAGGCCTTTGCCGCCAGCCCAGAGGCGGCCGCAGCTCGTTCGAGCTCGCGCAGTGCACGCTCTTCGTCGGGCGAAGGCTCGTCCAACGAGCTCGAGGCTGGCCGTGCGGGTGCATCCGGCGCGAGCTACTTTGGCGCCTCCACGCTCAACGATCTGCAGGACGCATGGCCGTCGGGCACATGGGCGGTCAACCAGGACGGCGCCAATGATCCCGCCTCGAACCTGCCGCGCTTCATCCCATCGCCCTTGCAAAAGTATGGCTCGCCCTCGCCCTCGCCCACGCCGCACATGCCCGATGCCAACAACCCGTTCAACTTTGACTCGCGCCCGGACGCCAACCACAACATGGCCACCGCCATCCTACCTCCGGGCATGTACGAAGACCGATATGCGCTCGCCTCGTTCGGCCCAGGCGTGGGCATCCGCGGCCTTGATGCCTTCACCGACCGCGCCGGACGCGAGGGCAACTTCCTCGCGCACATGGACTCCAAGAGCGACGGCAAGAAGCGCCAGATGGATGATCCCGACGCACTTCCGCCGCTCGTCGTCAACGGCGTGCCTTATCACGTGCCCGTGTCGGCGTATCCGGTGGGCTCAACCGCCATGACGACGGGCGGATTCGGATATCTGACGCGCGCCTACGGCCTGTCGCTCGACAACATTGTCGAGGTGGAGATGGTGCTCGCCGACGGCCGCATCGTCACGCTCAACGAAGAGTCCAAGCACAAGTCGCAAGAGGAGCAGGATCTGTGGTGGGCGGTGCGCGGCGCCGCACCGTGCTTTGGCATCGTCTCGCGCCTCACCGCCAAGGCGTATCCGGTACCGTCGGTGTATTCGGGCAACCTCATCTATCCGCTCAATCCTGCTACGGCGGGCTCGCTCATCCGCCACTGGCGCGACTGTCTCAAGGCCGGGCTGCCGCGCAAGTTTTACACCAACCTCATCCTTACCGCAGGGCCGAGCAAGACGTCGCACGTGATTGTGATCCAGGTGTGCTATCTGGGTCCCAAGAGCGATGGCGAAGCGCTAGTGCAGGCGATCAGCAGCTGGACGGGCGAGCGGCTGTTGCTCAAGGACGTCGAGGAGCGCAGCTTCCTCTCGCAGCAGGACGGCGTGGCCAAGGTGCTCAAGGGCGGCACGGGACGACGATGGATGGTGCGCGGCGATCTCATCTCGACGTTGACGGACGACGTGATCGCCAAGAGCGTGCGCAACTTCCAAGGACTCGGCAGCCGCGCCGTGTGGCTGTTCGAGCTCATGGGCGGCGCGATCGAGGACAGCGGCGCGGACGAGACGTGCATCTGCCCCGAGGCGCGCGCCGCCAAGTTCACCGTGGGATCGCTGCAGCAGTGGAGCGGCAAGGACGAGGACCGCACGTGCATCGAGAGCGTCGAGCGCTGGTTGAACGATGTCGTGCACAAGGTTAGCGTTGGCGGACCCTATCCGTGCTTCCTGGGCCGCTCCGAGCGGATGGACCGCGTGATCGGCGCTTACGGCCTCGACAACTTCCGCCGCCTGCTCGACATCAAGAAGCGCGTCGATCCCAACAACCTCTTCCGCCACACTTTCGGCAACGGATTTGTCGTCGACGAGCCCGACAGGCTGCTGCAGGACCTCGACGTCCGTCAGACCGAGCGACGCCGGCTGCAGGAGGCCGACTCGCAAGCGGCAGCCGCTGCCAATGGCCAGACGTCGTTATCGCAAGAGTAGAGTCCGTTGGAGAATTTTTGTACGCAAATAGCATTCAACAGCTTTCAGACAGTTGAAGTTGGCTCTCGAGTGCATGAATGGATGCGCTAGCTTGAGCTTTTGAGGTTGAGGGATAGAAATGGAATTGGCCGAGCACTCATGAGAGAGCGACGCGTTGCCGAATTTGGCCGTCGCGGTTCATTTTTTGGTGGACGGGCCGAAATGAAATGCGCCTCACGCGAGCTGCCCCAAAGCAACGGTAGTGGGAATATTTCCGGATTTCGGAACTTGGATTCGCGACCCCGGCCAAGCGGCTCGGCCTGAGGGTGCATGCGGTGGACCCCCGCGTCGACCGGCGATTCTTCCTCCCGACCACCACCTGCACACCTGCATCTCCCCCAACCCACCCGGCCTTTTCGCCGCCAGTTACACCAACACATCTTCCGAAAGGTGTCTGCATCGATATTGGGTCGACTCGATTACGCACAGGATTGCGCAGCTCTGGACGGACAGCGCGACCGCACAATCGCCCGCTTGCTGCAAAAGCCTTCGCGTCGACCGCTGCCACTCGACGTTCGGATTGCCGTCTCGTCCGGTCCCAGCAACACGTAATACAAAGCAAAGCCTCACAACCACGTCTCGGCGAGCAAACCAGCACATGCCCTCATCCATACACCCGAGCTGCATCCAAGCTCAGCAACACGACCGACGGCAATGAAGTACCTCTTGCAAGCGATCGAGGCGAAGCGCGCCGCGGTCAAGCTCGACGATGGCGAGCTGCGCGAACTGCTCACCGAGGTATGCAAGGGCCGCGACGAGCGCGAGGAATTCCTCGAGTCGATCGACCGCATCATCACCGAGCTCAAGAACTACACTGAGCACTCCACCGCCTTCCTGTCCAAGGTGAGCAAGCGCGATGCGCCCGACTACTACGACGTGATCAAGCATCCCATGGACCTCGGCTCCATGCAGAAGAAGGTCAAGTCTGGACAGTACAAGACCAAGAAGCAGTTCGCGCACGACCTCAACCTCATCTGGGACAACTGTCTGCTGTACAACTCGGACCCCACGCATCCGCTCCGGCGCAACGTCCAGTTCATGCGCAAAAAGGCGGATCATCTGCTCGAGTTCATCAGCGACAAGAGCGACGTCAAGAGCGCGCTCGTCCAGTGGGGGCTGCACGACTCCAAGCCCACGCCAGCCAGCGGCGCCGTCAACGGGCATACCACAGACGCCGCGAATGCAGCGTCTGGAGCGCAAGAGCCGGCGAACGGAAACGCTGCAGCACAGCAGGCGGAAGCACCGCGGGGGAGGAACACCAGCCACATCGCATTTGAAGAGCAGGAAGCCTTTGTTCGCACGCCACATTCCATGCTCGCCTTTGCCAACATCGACGCCGGGCTGCAGCAGCTCGAGCACGCCGAGGCCGGGCCGAGTTCGCGGCCGCTGCTGGCGCCGTCGAAGCTGGTGGATGCCATGGCGGCGGTGCGCGACGATGCGCACGACGATCCTCTGAGCAGCGTGCTGCCGGGCATCTTTGCAGCGCCGAGCAGCAAGGGCAAGGAGAAGGCGACGCCGGAAGTCACTCGGCAGTCGCAGCCGCCGTCGCAGGCCGAGTCGGTCGCATCAGCACGCAGCACGCCTGCGCGCGAGGTGGCGGCGCGCGACGCGTGTGCCGACTGGTTCACGGTGGCCGCATCGGCAGAGATGATGACGGGCGGGCTGCCGCGGTTGGCGTCGTCGGCGATGGCTGTGCCGCCACCACCCGCGGCGGGTAGGAAGCGCAAGGCGTTCCACCAGGTGCCTGCGACGCGGCGGCGCGGGCTGGCGGGCAAGATCGCGCGCAACGTGCGCACGCTGCAGCGCGTGCAGCAGACGCACAACAAGTTTCTGGCACTCGCGCACCACGTCGAAAACGAAGCGCCCATCCCGGCGTACCTCACGAGCATGTCGTCGGACGAAGAGTCGGACTACCCTTCCGACGACGAGGTCGAACCGCGCGAGCCGGCGCGGCATCCACTTGCACGCATTTCGGGCGCATCGGCACACGAGCACGCGTCGTACAACGTGCGCATGCTCCTCGCCCACCACGGCTTCGAAGGCGGCCACCGTGCAGCCGTCGACGTGCTCACCGACGCGCTGGGCGAGTTTATGGGCAACCTCGGGCGGATGCTACGCATCTACTCGGATCGATACGCCTCGTCGATGTCGGCGGAGGAGATGGTGCTGCACACGCTCCACGAAGGCGGAGGTGCCGACGTACGGGGACTGGAGAACTACATCCGCAACGATGTCGAGCGCAGCGGTACCAAGACCGCCGAGCTTCTGCGTAAGCTGCGCAGCAGCTACCGCGAGCAGTTCAGCCTGTCGACCGAGCGCGGGGTGATCGAGGACGAGGCGCTGTTTGCCGACAACGGCGAGGCGCTGGTGGCGGGCAACTTCGCCGAGGATCTGGGCGACGACTACTTTGGCTTCCGCGAGCTCGGGCTGGACAAGGAGCTGGGCATGAGCGGACTGACTGTGCCGACGCGGCTGTTCTACGGGCGTGCGCGAGCGAGCAATACGGCCATGGCTGCGAGGGGGGCGGTGAAAGAGGAGGTGTTGGCGTATCCACCCCCGCCCGAGCCGGTGGCCTTGACAGCAGCGGCGGTGGGAAGCCAAATCGCGCTGCTGCATGGGTTCTACCAGGACAGGTTGAGGGAGCACCGTCAGCGCGTAAAGCATGCGCACGAACAAGCGGCCGAGGAAGAGGAGAGGGAGCAGGTGGATCCAGTCGTGGCGGCCGCGACACTGCCCGAGCACGAACAGGAAAAGCAGCGCTACAAAGTGCCGCCGACGGGCAAGATGCCTCGGCGCATCATGTGGAGTGCGGCGCTGGAAAGGAAACAGGCTGCCGAGAGGGTGGCAGCCGAAAAGCCGAGTGTGCCCCCGCCGCCACTGGCAGCCAAGATGTCGACGGGAGGAACGGTCAAGACGGCGAAAAAGGGCGAGCTCAAGAAGAACGCCATCACGGCATGAGTGCAAATTTCATCCATTGCAGTCTAGTGGGAAGCGCAATGTCTAGTCGGAAGCCGGGATCTGTGTGTGCAGAGCGAGATCTGTGAGTGACTTGCTCAGTCTGTGCACGGCAACGATGAAGGACTTACGCGTTGGAGGGCGCCACCGTCAACACGCATGGTGGTGCCGTTGGCAAAGTTACTCGCCCTCGAGGCGAGGTACAGCACGGCGGCAGCATGTTCTCTCGGCTGACCACACCTGCCCACGGGGATATCAGCGCCGTTTGTATGGCTGAGGGTCTTGTGTCCCGTGGATTGATCGGTCGGTTCGGTGCTGGTGAGGTCCGAGGGGTAGAGTCCCGGTTCGATGATGTTGGTCCTGAGCATGTGCGTCGCGAACATGGTCGACAGAATCTGCCCGAGCTGCGAGACTGCAGTCTTGGAGATGTTGTACACCGGATTGAGAATCGGCAGTTTGGCCCAGGCGGCATTGCTCGAGATCAAAATCGTCTGCGAGTTGTACTCTGCGCTTGTGGCTTTTTTGAGCAGGGGTAGGAAGGCGAGGGCGGTGAGGTAGTTGCCAGTGACGTTGGTGCGCAGGATGTCGTCGCATTCCGACTCGCTAAACGACCAAAGCTCGTCGACAATCTCTTCAAACTCGCGCTCCTTATCCCCCGCATCGGTAGGTTCAGATCCGTAGGAGCGAAGGAACCTCCCCCCAATACCCGCATTGCAAATAAGAACATTGATCCCCCGTTTGGCCCTGGCGTCAAGGTCCGTTGAGATACGCTCTCGGGCATCCGACAGCGATGACTTCGAGGTGATATCCGCTTGGATAGCCACCAGATCGCCCGAATGGCGCTGGGCGGGGTCGGGCAGGAGGATACGGAAGGTTTCGACGGCCGAGGAAAGACGGTCCTCGCGACGGCCGAGGATGTACACGAGCGCACCGTTGGCAGCAAGCGCTTGGGCGGCGTAGAGGCCGAGGCCCGAACTGCCGCCCGTGACGACGGCGGTCAGACCGCGAACGTCAAAGAGACTCGTCGCGGAAAAGTGCGCCAGCCCACCCGTACTGTGCGAAGTCATTTCGAAAAGGAGGAGAGATGGTGGTGGTGGGGTGGAAACAAGGTGGCGAGCGGGGTGGAGGGCACGCGCAGAAAATGGCCGATGCAGTGTCCGTGCGAGGCTGGCGGACGTTCGCACCATCTTATCCTCTCCCGCCTCTCTACACTCGTTTGGCTCAAACACAAGCTGCACACACACGCTTTCGAGTACGACGCTATTTCTGGCATTATGTTTGGGGCGCCTAGTGGTGGGGCTTGTACACACCTGCGGCGAGCTGAATCTCCTGGCTGGTGAGGATGAGCAGCTTACCGGGGCTAGCGGCATGGCCGCTGATGGCCGCCTTGGCAGTCTGGGCCAGGGCGGAGAGCTTTCCGTCGGCCTTGAAGATCCTGATCTCATCCGGCTGGACATCGAGCAGCACCACACGCGGGTCGTTGTGGTCGCCCGTGTGCTTGCCGTCCTTCTTGTCGTCGAACCATGCCTTGAGGGAGCTGGACCAGTGCTTCTTGATCTTTGCCGGGTCGCGGTTGAGCACGGCACGGCCCGAGATCGAGACCCAGTCGGTGGTCTTGGGGTCGTAGTACGACACGTTCACCTGCGGGTCGGTCTCAACATCGTCCGTCTTGCCCGAGTCGGTGTTCATGTAGAACGAGGAGACGAGGCCCTCGGTGGTGGCGGGCGCCATGGCGCGCGAGGCGAGCTTGCCATCAGGACTGCGCGTGGTGAGCATACCCGTGCCGACCGTCTTGGTGATGTCGAGCAGCGTCTCGATCTTTTCCTGAGGCGTGTGCTGGTGGCCCTTGGAGTGCGCACCCTGCGCGGTGGGGTCGTGTGCTGGTGCGGTAGTCGACATGGTGTTGGCGATGTGTTGTGCGGTCGTGTGTGGTGTTGAGAGGATGAGGATGCACAGACTCGAGGATATATAGGTCTCAGTTGGGCTTGGTGCACCACGCTCAACCAGTGTGGAAGCGGCTCAAGCAAGGTGATCTCATGGCCGTGCACCGCCCCGGCCAGGGCAACGCGAGGAAGTGGACTGCCGCGCGGAGACGCTCGATGAATCATAGCTGGGATCCGTGGTGTGCTTGCGTGCCATGGCGCCACTACGGGGCGGAGAGGAGGAGGATGGGCGCCAGGGCGAGAGTGTCGTCACAGCTGCTAAGTTGGGCGCCTCCGCTGGCTGGGCTGACAGATGAGCGCAACAACGCGCATGTGGAGGCCGACGATCGATTCCCCATCGGGAAATAGCCTATCCACGGATGCCGATCTCGATCCAAAAATACCGATGTTAAGCTAGGTCCCACCGCTTCTACCGCTGCCTCTGCCTTTTGTTTGCTCCTGACCGAAGCATGATCGCATGCACACACACACACACA